AGAGAGAGAGAGAGAGAGAGAGAGAGAGATGAATTAATTATCAATTTTACACTTATTGACCCTCAATATTAAGTAAAACTGCTTTTATATTGTTGTAAAGTTGTTCAAAAATGTAAAACATGTCACAATAAAGTTGTTTCAACAAATTGACGTCAACAATATTTATTACTTTGTCTGTGGATTAAGTAATCATTGAATTGATTCATAATTTTATTTTTGTTATTTATTCTAACTAAACATACTAAATTAAAAGTGTAATCAATATACAATAATTGTGAATTACAATTGTGCTTGGTCACATCAAAGTAAATTGATCATTTGACAATACTCAGTTGTATTGATGAAATAGATCATTATTCAGCATAAATATTGATAAATTGATAATTTTGTGTTCAAATAACAAAATTTTACAAATTCCTTAAAATCTCACGTTATTATAGTTTTTGGTAATTTTTAGCACATCAAACACTTACTAAACACATGTACTGTATTGCACTTAAATATGAAAACATTATCTAATACTTTAATTTAAATAAGTATTAAACTGGTTATTTCAATGAAAATGTAATATCTTATACTTTTTAAAATTTTAAATAAAATAAATATTTCTACTGGATAAGTTATGAAATATGTATGATAATAATTTTATTTAGATGTAAAATTACTAGACCGTTGATGCTTCAGGAATTCCCAATAAAATTGATTTAATTCAACAAACATCGGGATTATATGCCATTGAATATAATTAAATTTTTGGTTTAAATACATAATTATTTTCCTAGAATTTAATATTTCAACAATATAATATAATATTTTTTAACCCGATTCTGGCTGTTTGTATTCCCAAATAAAATACCCTTAGAAGTTACCAAGTACATACAGTAGGTTAACGCAGCAATTATTATGTGTCAAAACTTTTAATACAGTATACTGTAATGAAATTAACAAATATATAAATTATATTATACTTAATTCGTGAGAATTGCCATTATATACAATATACATTGCGTTTATACCGTACTGACTGAGAGTGACTGTACAGTAAAGTAATGCACTTTTTAGTGCAACATAAGTGCATTTGTAGAACTATTTCAGTCAAATGACTGTCGAATAATGCAGAGACCGATTGATAGCAATGAAAGTGTCCTCTATTTTTCACAACATATCCTTTCAATGCAACTCAATATCAATGGTTAGTATAGACAACACTCGGAGCGCTTCTATGGCTTAATTGAATCGCATTCACGAGAGAATACAACACCTGTTTATACAACAATATACTACAGAATATCATACAGAATATTTCGTGCAACAAAAAAAGTATACCTCTCTATGGGGGACATGAGATGTAATGATTTCATTGGAAACCTATTGAATTAATTACAGATATGACTGTTTTTCAATTCTCACGAGTTATTGTTATCTCATCCCTAAATATAAATTACAAATTAAAAGCATTTCATTTTCTATTTAATTGATTATTTTATTTGTGAATATTACTAAAAATTGTACAATAATTGTGAAAATTGAGTTTCGATAACAGATTCTGTAACTATGTCTCACATTCAATAAGCGTTCAAAGTATTCACTCTTTGTTCATATATTTTTAAATTGTAAAATTTTGTGTATATTTTGAGATAGATGGGAATAAATAAACGGTACATATTATCACAAATTATATTCCGATAAAGTCTTCACATTTATATGAAATTTAATTGAAAATATATTTATATAAAAATTACCGTTAAATGTAAAGAAAACATAACCAAAAAATCAAGCAGAATCTGGTAACAGTAAATGATAACTATATATTTATATCAAACCCAGCCATTTTAATGGACCAGAAATTTAATTAATTCACTTTTAAATAGTATATACGACCCAATGTTTCCTAATTGTAAATAACTATAAATTCCTAAATATAATAATTTATCAGTTGTTAAATCATTAGAAAACAAGTGTTAAAACGATTAAAAGTCTCATGATTTCAAATATATTGGCACTCTATTAGTCTCCAATTCATTTCAATTCTTATCTAAAACTTCAAATTTTTTAATACAAAACAGACCTAAAGTGTGTTTACTTTTCACAAATAATTATCACATTTTGAAGAATTGACAAAAAGTATGAATGATTAAATAACAAGTAACAAGGTATAAGGCCAACATTATAGGTTTATAAGACTTTTACAACTTAATTATACTGTAGTGGAAATATGAACATAATTTATAAGTCAATCAATAATATTATGATATAGTAGTACTCATTTGATATAAAACAATCAATTTTAATAATTTGAAAACTCAATAAATAATACCGATTTAAAAACCATTACTCCAACTGTTTATTAAACTTTAAAATACAAAATATAATAAATATAAAAATAAACATCCAATATATTAATTAACCAGAATATAAATTGTGTATTAAAAATAAATATGTATATTAATAACAATCATTAGGTGCGGCCATTCCTCTCCTTATCCTCATTAGTCAACATAAAGGCCGGCATATAATATGTCTCTCCATTTCGTGCGATAAATTTGAGTAAAGGGTTAGGAGTGGTGTTTCGCGTCGACCCCACAGATGTATACCTATATATCAATCAGAAATCAAAACAAAATTAATAACAATTCATGTGAAAAAAGGATGCAATGAAAACATACCCCCTATCATAGAGTGAACAGTAAAGCACATGATTATCACGAATAAAAGACCAGATCTGACTGTACGACCACTTCAGCAATGGTGAGATACGCATGAACTGAGGCCAGTCCTGGTCTGTCATTTGGCATTCATTGAGTACTACATGTTTGGGCAAATCGCCGCTTCGGGTGCCCATAAATATGGCACTGATTTTGGTCTCGTTCTTAAGCTTTTGCATTGATTTCTTAAAGTCGGGCT